GGGGGGGGGGGGGATAGGCTCTTTTGGTTTCCCTGGGCTACAATTATTTTCCTTCTGCTGTACATACAAGATTTCTTTGGACTGTCTTCATTCTTTATATAAAATAATTTGGGAGGTATTTTCTGGATGGAAGATGATCCTGAAATCAGCACAGTGTAACATGCCAGCCCATTTCCAATGAAATGACTTCAGCTGAATGCAGTATGGCTGCGTTGCCAGTGCAAAGCTAATTGCAGAGGGATACATGTGAATTAAACATGTCTTTGACCAGGAACCCAGCTATCCCTCACAATTACTGGGGGCTGAAAAGCATTTGGATGAGTTAAGCTTTAGAAGAAAAGACGGTCCCTTCATACGCCTGTGAAATTAAAAAGCAAATGTCTAGTCCTAACGGCTATAAGATGAATTTTAAACAATAAAGCTGCAGTGAAGGTTATGAGCAAGATATGTGCTATTTTACTGCTTTATCTAGCTCTGCGGGAGGAACAGGTTTTATTGATTTGCAGCTGAAAGGAGCTGTACAGAACCCAGGTTAGCGGGACATCTGCGATATTGTGAAATGTCCCCTCCTGTCTCTCCACCAGCAATTTGTCAGTGGCAAGATGAATGCATCTTTGAAAGTGCCACCACTGTTAGTGGATACGGTGTATGATTGCTTAAATACTGGGACTGGGCTTTCAGCAAGGGAACAGGAAAAAGGGGCAGGCCATCACCAGCATGGAGGAAGGGGTTACAATTGGCAGCCCATCTCACCGTATGAACAAGGTGAACCTTGACTCAGGCAATGAAAATGTAAAAAGTCAAGGCACATATTTTAAGCTGAGCTTTAAACAGACTGATAACCCAAATAATTAATATACAAGCTGCCAGTAGCTTCCCATCGTTGAGGGGACCCATTAACCTCCTGGCTGTTGCATTTTTCACCCACTGTACTTTTCCAACCTGTCTTTTAAAATAGCCTTTCACAATGCCAGGAACATGTCCATTCATGTGGTGCCCTCCAGAGCTAACGAACTTCAAAATTCCAGACTTCCCCATGGCCGTGGTTTCACCGACTGGGAATTAAAAATGTCTTTGACCAGGAATACTGGGTTGAGATCGATCTATCCGTGGCGTGAGCAGCAATGGGCACTTTGCCACTGCTACATGAACTGCATTGGCTCTTAGTTGGCTTCTAGGTGCAATTCAAGGTGCTGATTCTTCCCTTTAAAACCCTTCATGGCACAGGACCTGGTTACCTGAAGGAGCTCTCCCATGCTTTCTGTCCAACAGGTACTGAGGGGGTCCCTTCTATGAAAGGTTGCCGTCTTGTAGGACCTAGGAAGCGTGCCTTCTCGATCGCAGCCCCCACCCTCAGGAACAGCATCCCTGCAGAGAGATGGACGGCACTCTCTCTCCTGGGGTTGAAACCATAGAACCTGGGTTCAGCCCCAGGCCTGGGGTTAATGTGTTAGGGGAGGGGAGCTGTGGTGCTCTGTTTTAATTGTTGTTTTTAATCTGGGCTGCCTTGTCTCCTTTTATCTATGTTTTTAATTGTTTTAATTTAGTATTATATTGTGTAAGCTGCCAAGAGCCTGCTGGAGTGGGCAGTTATAATACATTTAATTAAGTAAATCTATCTATCCAACCATCCACCAACCCCACATACACACATAAAAAATCGGCAGAGCTTCAATCACACCATTGTAGCTGCCATCTTGACTTTTTTGACCATAGCTTGAAGTCACCCATGCTTCCGGGTTCATCTTATTTAGGAATGCCAGAATTGAAAAGAGCAATTTCCATATATTGGAAGAAAATAATATGGGAGAAAAAAAATCATAACGATCCACATAGATACAACAAAGCCCAGTTAGGAAATACAGGTATTTTAAACATTCCAAGAAACGTGGGTGGCTATAGCAGGATTTTTATTATGTATTTTTCCCCATTTAAACAGCAGCTCCTGCTGGATCAGAGAACAAGGGTTGCAATTCAAACCCTTCCTAGATTTAAATATCATTTGGCACGAGGGCTGCTGCCATTTTTGAGACATCGAAGATGAATAAATATTTAGATCCTTTCGTAACAATGACTGTAGCAATTGATCAGGAACCATATTTTATAGGAGGGTGCTAAAGCCAAGGTGTAAAGACCATTTCCCATGCATAAAGCTACTGTTTCAAGCCTTTAAAAGGAATCTATACACAGTAGTGTATGAGGGAATGACCTCATATATTTTATTTTTTTTCTTTCCTGACTTAACAACTCTCTTTAAAAGAAACTTCTTCAAAAAGTACATCTGAAAGAGGGTATAATGGAGGTTGAAGGTGGGTTAGATCAATATTTCTCAACCTTAGGAACTTTAAGAGATGTGGACTTTGACTCCCAGAATTCCCTAGCCAGCATACTGGCAGGGGGATTTTGGGGGTTGATGTCCATGCCTCTTAAATTTGCTAAGGTTGAGAAACACTGGATTAGATTAACAAATTGTGTTAGGGAAGATCTCTGGCCCACCAGCTAAAAGTATCTTCATTCACCTATGGCTTTTGGCACAGTCACAGCCAGTGGAAGCCCTGCACTTAAACTAGGGGCCCTTGGACTCCCTCCTTTGTGAAGCCATGCAGCTCCTCTGAGCCTCTCTGTACCATTCAAGATTGTTGTGAGGGTGAAATTGTTGTTGTTCAGTCGTTAAGTCGTGTCCGACTCTTCGTGACCCCATGAACCATATTGCG